ATTATTTGTTTTGATTAATTTTTTGAGATTAACTATTTAAAATGGTTTTGGTTTTAATCAAAAAATTATTTTTATATTTTTAAATTTTTTTAAAATAATTATTAATTTTAATTATTAACAAAATCTAAAATTACTCAAGTAAATAAATAATTTGTCAAAAGGTGGTGAGAAAAACTTTAAAAAAATTTAGAGACCATTAAAAAATTTATGTAAAAAGCTTTTAGACCAAAATTTTTTATGATACTCAACCTAGTCAACGATTTTTTAGTTTTTCAATTTTTATATATAGCAATTAAAATTCAAACTGTTTGAAATTAGTTGGGTTTAAGTTTTAATAACAAACTCAATAAAATCTTACCCATTAATTATAATTTCAATCAATTTTGAATTTTTATTTTTTTATTGCAAATTTTTAAGAAAATGTGTAAATAAGAACGTTAATTTTATATTTTTTTATTTAAAAATGTTAAATTTTTCAATTTCTAAATAAAGATGTTAACTTTCAATTTTTAACTTTTAACTTTTTTTATTCAAAGATGTTAATCTTTTTTAAAAAGTTTATTTGTTACATCAATATTACTATCTAATTAATTCTTAGATATAAAAAGTTGAAAGTTAACATTTTTAAATAAAAAAAATTTAGAAGTTGATATATTTATTTAAAAACTAATAAAATTATTACGGGATGAATTTGTATTGCTTTGAAGTTGACAACATGTGTAGAGCCATGTCAGCGAGACTGACCTTGGACTTATGACTAGAAAGGGTCTACATGATTTATTTCCACATTAAATCTATTATTTTATTTTCTACTAATTACTACAACAAAATTAGCATCACTAGAAATGGCATTTATCCACTTTGCTGAAAACATTCTAGACATGATCTATTTCAATATTACTCTCATATACATGGCCAGACACGGCTATATCTAGACATGATCTACTTCAATATCACTCTTATATACATGACCAGACACGACTAGATCTATCTCTACAACATGGTTATATCTATCTTTACGACATGGTTGGACGTTTTTTTTGGTCATGATTCTACTATAATATTCACTGCTACGTCTTTTTGGTTCCTAACAATGGACAAAGAGCCTACTTTACTACACATACATGGCTTCCATCAATGGACAACGGGTTGATTCTATCATATCTACACAGCTCCAAGTGATGGACAAAGGGCCATACTTGCTATCTCCTTTAGCCTCAAACAATAGGCAAAAGGCTACACGTTTCTACATATCTTCATTACACCAGCTCTTAGAAATGGACAAAGGGTTGGATCCCTATATCTTTTATCTCATTGGTTATCGAAGATGGACAAAGAGTCAATGTAACTTGATACAATTAGTGTGAGATTGGTAATAATTGTAACCTTACGATTGGTTGGGATGGTTACCTTTCAGTGATAAAAATCCATCAAGTTGCAGTTGGCAATCCTTTGGTGGTCACCCATGCATGGTGGTGAGATGCCCGGTGGGCAACAACAACTAGAACCACCCTCTGACGGTGCAAGTACGACAAAAAGGACTAACGTTTATCAATGGTGTCACACCTTGTCATATTGGAGGCCAAGGATGTAGTTAGCATCCCCTTCCATGGAGACAACTCCATCTATCTTTCTCACATGTTCATCATTATGGTGGAGTTTGGCTTGATGAGATTTATCCCTTTCGCATCTTGGTAGATTAGTGGGAATGCTCTTCCAATTCCACATAGTTTATACTCTAACCATGGGCAAATCTAGCCATTGTTGTCCCTCTAACTATGGGAAAGCTATTCATGGCTGACACTGTGATATTCATATAACGTGGTCGATGGTCATGCACATCATTATTCTTTTGTACAAATGGACAAAATTACCGGTTACCAGTAACCCCAATGCATAATATATTTCTTCTATATATTTTTACATGTTGGCAGGTATTATCAACCAGTGGCACTTAGCTTGGCAAAATAATACCACGGCACAGATTTATATTACTCTTTCTTTATTTTAGCACAACGCTAGACATACACAGTAGTGTTATACTAGTGCTCACCATAATCAATGGATACAATGGCACATCAATATTCATTCTTACCATCCTTTTTGATATACAAGGGAGTATCTTCTTCATTGCACATACTCATACATTTTACACTTATACATATCTGAACAAATACTCATTCATATTTTACTCTTTGTTATAGATGAACATAAACTCATGGGGATTACTTGGGATAAACTATGAGAGTATTAACTTTGCAGGCATGGATGGAAGAATAATGCCCGTCTGGCGAAGCAAGGTATTCACACCAACCAGGCTTGGAGTTGGTGATGTTGCTTGAGTTCTTCGGGAAGGGTTGGGTGGCAAAGACGTGGAGGCAAAACTTGATCCCAAAACTATACCGTTTGATGCTAACACTTGGAATTTCGTTAAAAACCAACCATATATGCTATTTGAGTCTCTATTAACAAGTTGCAGCTACAAAGGTGGCTGCACAAGTTCTACTGCATTGGAAACTGTTGAAAAATATTTTATTTTGCTTGGGAAAATCATCAAAATCCTTGGCAAGATTGATTTTACCAACTGTGCTCAAGTACCCCCTCCCAAAAATGGTACTTCATATGGATAGAGAATTATTAGAAATAGGTAGTCTCCAACAAATCAGCAGTCCTTCATTGGAATTAGCAATTCTTCATTGGAACCATTGGACAATTCATTATTTCACTTCAAAAAAACTGTCAACAATATCCAAAAGCACTTAAAACTCAATAGTTGTCCTCACCTAAGCACTTAAAACTTAACAGTTGTCCTCACCTAACCTGAATTTACCCATTGGTTCACTGGGCAATTTTGACCCCTTAACTTGAAATTACCAAAATGCCAGTGCATATATGTTTTTTCATTTTTCCTTCATTTTTTAACAGATAGGGCAAATTTTTGGGAACCCAACTTCCTCTTCACGCACTAGACCTCCATTTTTCATTTAAAAAACTTTTCATCTTCAACCTCTCACCCCATACACTAGTATCATCTAGAAATCACCATTTTTATCATATTTTCTATACTTCCAAATTGCAGAATACTTTCCAGACTTGCTAAATATCATGGTTAGGAGACTACATGTTACAGTTTTAGATTATGGGTTATTTTCTTAAGCATCAAAAGATCAAGCTACAAAGTTAGCATCGAGAACAAGATCAAGTCCTTCATTCACAAGCCCCCACAACAGTCATCCTTCCTTCTCCCATCACTACTTTCAAGTTTATTCATTTTATCTTATTAAAACTTGAAGGGGATTATTGTGCTTTTCACCCACAACATGAGGGTTGGTTGTTATATAGTATGAGTATTTATTAAAGATAGTAGAGAGCACATTCATTGTGTTTACTATTATGCCACAATATATGATGTATAAGTGTGCTTCTTAAGTTGTAAAATTTGATATTTATGTATTCTCTATCCTTACTGCTCCTACCCCAATGCACACTTCTTTTTTTATTATTTTTGGTGGTTGTATAAACATTCTTGGCTCTTGATACCCTCTCATTGCTGCCTAGCTCTCCTAGCTTGGTTAGAAAATTTACACTTCCAAACTTTGCTAGAGAATATACTGTTGACCATCTTTGCTGGACAAAGTGAGATGACTTGTGGCATGTAGCCTCTTGCATGTGAAACAGGTGTTAGCCAAAAGGACCCTTTTAATTTCCCGTAGGTGGCATCCTAGTCGACTTCCACATCATCACCACTGCTGACTCATCAACTCCACGTCACCTGCACCTCCAACAAAAATTAATGACCTTAAATAAAAAAATGCAAAGTTGATATCTTTATTTATACATTTTTCGGCAAAATTGTTGACCACTCCTAACAAGTTATGTTGAAATTTATTGCTTGGTGTATTTGGTTCGCAAAAATGGTCTTATCTTTAATCTACAATCTTATCTTTAAGAAGAAAGATCGATTTATATGTATAAATTTTATATATTACACTTATATAAACTTTTGACCATTTATTTCTCTAGTTTCAATAGTTGAGATTTATTACAAATTTTAGATAAAATAGATAAATTATCTTTGATAAATGTGAATAAATCTAATTATTGAAAATAAAGAAATAAATTGTTAAAATTTTGTGTAAATAGATTCTTACTCTATCTTTACTAATTGGGAAGTTTTGTAGGAATTGACCTTTGAGTCTATTCCGATAAGATCATTCTTAGGTTGAGATTGAGGGGTGTGGTTGTTTCCATTATTACTAATGTTACTAAGGTGACTTGAATCTGTATTTAGCTTGGAAAGTAATTGGTGTATATTTGATTTAACACAATTTTAAGATTCATCTTGATTAATTATTAAAATATAGTACAAGTACAACTAATTTAGGTAGCTTTTAGGGTTACTTTTTCACAGCACTTTTTTTCATAGCAATTCATAAAATACTAAAAAGTCCAATTAATATTTTATATAATTTTATGGTCATATATTAATGTATAAGACCTTTTTCAAAGTAATTATAAGATAATAACATAATTTTTCTTATAGTAAAATACTAAAAAACCCACAATTACAATATTTTACAACAATTCTAAATATACTTTTAATCAATTTTTACATCTTATATGCATAAATATCGCTTTAAATTTATATGTCTTTAAATTTATATTAAAAATAATATTATAATTTTTTAATAAATTTATTTTATAATATATTAAATTAAAATATATATAAATTAATATCCATATAGTTTTTACTCTTGTTCAATTACAATAGATAATTGCCTTGGGCGGATGGCATAAATGTTTTTATCTAGATTAAGCAGATAAACAGAAAAATCACCGCAAACGATGTCAGGAGAGAACAAAATGCATGTCTGGAGAAATATAGGTACCTAATTACCATCAAAGAATCTTGTGTACGCAGCAGTCTTTATTGAGAGATCTATTCATTATTCTGGTGCGCCACAGCTGATCGAGTCCAGTATACTCGGAGCGAAACCCCGAATACCGAACGAAAAACTAAAAAAAAAAAGAACCATCACGAATGATCAAGAGAATCCCAACGCACTTTGTACTCTCTTTTAATAAACGAGTAATATTTTTACTTGACCGATTAAAAAAATACACAAACACGGAGATTAAAATTCTGTCAGACAAACAAACAGAGGCCATTTATGATGCTTAACTATTCATGAGTCAAGAAGGAAGCAACCCGATTCATCAGATCCACACCGTTCTCGCCTTCTGGCTTGAACAAGTGGAACACATGACTCTCCCCTTCAATCTCCACAATTTCCACCGAACCACCCCATCCAATCTTCCTCAATGCCTCACGGTAAGTCCATCCTCTGTCTGTCATCCAATCCTTCTCTGAAACACAAATCAGTACCTTGGAGCATACCAGTTGAGCAAGCTTCTCAGGGTAAATTGCAGGGTTGAGCAGGGGATCATTGCAACCACTACTTCAAGGAAAAATGTACTCCATTAGCTTATCAGGCTCATTGTTTACAAAGAATGGGTGCATCAAATTCATTCCCACAATCCTCACACCTGGTAGTCTATCACCCCCCACTTTTACTACCATGTTGTGTGCAATATTCGCACCAGCACTATCCCCAGCCAAGAAAACTCTCTGAAAATCTGCGTGATCATTAAGCCAAGCCTCAGGTCCCTTCCTATTAACATGTGAAGCTACCCATTGGATTGCTGCCCATGAATCATGATACGCAACGGGGAGATGACTGAATAGAAACTGCCACTACGTTGGATTTGCCTAATAGGGAAGTAAGATAATTATGGTAAATTGGAGAGAAAGGAGACTAGTCTTTCAATTAATAGTTGTATGTAGTTTGGATCAGATACCATAAATGATGATTATTTGGGTATCAGATGTTCATCAGGAAAAAAAAAAAAAAATTATGGGTATTAGATGTTCAAATCCGAACCCAACTGAAAGGGCTTGTAAATTTGAAAATTTTGAAAATTTAATTATTTTTATTAAAAAAATATTTTACACTCCAAAGTAGGTCAAAGGCCCTATTTGCACTATAGATAGTTTTTCTTTATTTGCATCCTAGATATTTTTTTCTTTCAATAATTAATACCCTAAACTAATTTTTGTTCTGATCAATACTATTTATTATTCAAAATCCGTGAAAAACTTAAAAATTAATTGTCAAATCCTGTATTTGCACCTTGAATTTAATGTTAAACTTCTTATTTGCACCTTGAATTTATGTTCAAACTTCTTATTTGCACCGTGGCTTTATTGGTAATTTTGAGTTTTTTTATGGATTTTAAATTATGAAAGTGGTTGATCAAGACATAAATTAATTTATAGTGTTGATTGCAAAAAGAAAAAATGTGTAAGGTATAAATAAGGGATTCGACCCTTCAATCTATACTAAATCATAAAACAATAATTATAGAATTATGAATCACCCTTGATACTGGGAATGAGTCCATTTATCTAATAATTGGTGTTTTATATTTCAAATTATAAAACACTAAATTCATTTTTTATTTGTGTAAAAAATATCTTTAAAACTCACATCCATAAATACCTACACAACTGTTCCTGGCATAACTGGAAAAGATTAATTGTGAAGATAACTCGAAACATAAAATGTTTGTAAATATTATATTTATAATATGAGGAGCTGATTGACAGCCCAGTGATTAGTAATTGTCTCCCAAACTCTAGTATCGGATGAATACAGGTGAATTTTTGAAAATGGTTTGTACAACTTAACTCCAACAATCCAATAAAGAGTGACCTGGAGGGATCATATATTAATTTAAAGTTCCAGGAAATCATATGCTTAACGTAAGGTAAAGGAAGAGTTGAGAATTGTTGGGTGATTGGGTTGAAAACATACATTTTGCATGCGCAAGGAACACTTAGCTGGAGGCCATAACCGAAACATGTTGTTGAATTACATAAAAGCAGGCCACTGCAGGAATCTAAAAGTGTGATAGGACCAGAAGCATGGGGGTCATTTGGCCTGAATTTGGGGGCCAGGGTTGATTCTTGATCTAGAGAAAAGTAGGTGTACACCATTGGATCTCTAAGACCAAATGTCCTACCAAGAATAAAACCAGAGACTGTGTTATAATGCCTACGATTGTGGCGAAGAACGAAATTGGGTCGGGAATGAGAGATAGCCATCTCTTGGAGACCAACTTGAAATTGACAACAGATGTTGCCGGTAAACACAACAGATTTTCTGTGATGAGATCTTCATTAGCACCAACAACATTGGCGGTGGATGACATCTGTTTTTCAATGGGAGAAGATATCTGGTTCTCACGAGGAGACAATTCATACAAAAGCCTGTTAGCAGCTAATTAACAATATTGGAGATCACTTTTGAAATATCCAAACAAAACCTTAATAAAGCAAAGCAGATTCTTTTTCATGACAAACGATGAATGTTTGATTTGCATTAAAATTAAAACTAGCTAACCGTTATGTTTGATATCGGAAAATCTTGAGAGAGGAGATGCTTTTGGGGCAGCTATGGCCCCCCCCGTCAGTGCTCTGTTCTGGCTTTGGTTTGTTCCACTTCGAGCCAGTCGAGTACTAGATACAGAATTTATACTTCGCTGCAAAGAAATATAGTAGGGGTTAAGAATGTTTCACAATAATGAAATATAATGGAATTAGTCGAATTGAATTTTACCCTTTTTTTTTTCTTTATTGTAGGAAATCGGAGATTGATTTCTAGGCTGTAGCTGTCTAACTTCAATGTATCAATTAAGGTTCACTTTATTGTCTGCGCACTCTACTGTTTATCAATTATTGTCAAGATTATGATATCTCTGTTCATCGTTAATCACTCCTTTCCTTGATTTAACTGTTTCAATTTAATTTTTGAATAAATTTAACTAAATAATTT